ATCCTCCTCAGACACAGTGTGCGCACTGACGTCATCCGCGGTGCGCACACTGTCCGGTCTCATGGTCTCATGGTCTCATGGTCTCATAGAGGAGGTGTGATTGTGTGGGGGTGCTTTGTTGGTGACACTGTTGGGGATTTATTAAAAACTGAAGATACACTGAACCATCATGGCTACCACAGCATCCTGCAGCAACACGCCATCCCATCCGGTTTGCGTTTAGTTGGACCATCATTTATTTTTCAACAGGGCTATCTGACCAAGAAGGAGAGTGATGGAGTGCTGCGCTAGATGGCCTAGCCAGCATTCCGTCACCTGACCATAACCAAATCAAGATGGTTTGGGATGAGATGGACCGCAGAGTTAAGGCAAAAGGGCCAGCAAGTGCTCAGCATATCTGGGAACTTCTTCAAGACTGTTGGAAAACCATTTCAGGTGACGACCTCAAGAAGCTCATCGAGAGAATGCCAAGAGTTTGCAAAGCAGTAATCAAAGCAAAGGGTGGCTATTTTGAAGAATGTAAAATATAAAACATGTTTTGAGATTTACTACATAATTCCATATGTGTTTATTCATAGTTTTGATGCCTTCAGTGAAAATCTAAAATGTACATAGTCATGAAAATAAAGAAAACCCATTAAATCCCATTAAATGTCCAAACTTGACTGGTAGTGTACATGCAAGCAAACTCTAGAAATGATCATATAATGATGGTGACAGTATGTAGTGGCTCCAAAGTCAGCATGAACCTTTTTGTCTTTGAGACCACCGAATAAGGCGTAGTCAAACAAAACTGTTTTTCTCAGAGCTCAGGGTACAGTAAAGATATAGATACAAATAAACAAATACAAAGAACAGTAAGTAATTTTATCAGATTAGATGGTAAATTCTGTGTGTGTGTGTGTGTGTGTGTGTGCAGATAATCTTGTGGTCTTCAGTCCAGGTAGTGCTGGTCTCCAGCAGCTCCTTCACATACATTACATTCTGCTTATGGTTTGGAACATGATATTAGATACCATGCCCGTAAGAGCGCTGTCATCATTTGTAGAACCAATGAAGACAAACATCTAAGACTTTCCAAATTTAAATTGTCGAATAATAATCTTATTGTCTGTAATGAGGTCAAATATCTTGGACATCTTATTATAGCTCAAATACCAGAAGAGTTCTTTTTAGAGCATACTGTACATCTCTGCATACTTCATACTTGTGGACAAACTATAGGAACTATAGGAAGGTGAGTCTGCATAAACCTCATGTAGCCTATACTAATGCCCTGAGCTTATCACTGAAGATACAAAGGTGGCTCAACACCAGCAGGGGCTGGTACAATTGTCTCTTTGTGGGAAGGTGATCTAAGTGTATTTTTTCTTTGTTTTTGTTGATGTGTTTTACATGAGTCTGGAATAAAGGTTGATTGATTGGCACAAATTGCACACTGGTGTTGTGAGCAGGAGCGCTTGCAATTCTGTAATATTTTATATTATCAATTGTGTTCTGCAAAGCCTTATTAAAAAGGCATTTCTGGATACAGATTTCCTTGTTGAAAGCCTCAGTGTAGATGTGGTACATTTGCCTTACGTGTAAAAACAGGCACAGACTTATCGTGTGCTTTGAGTGCGAATATGTATGACAGCAACAGTGAATCATTCAACTTAGCCCTAATCCTGCACAAAATGTAAATCGTGTCTATTAGACATGCAGGTATATCAACTACTTTGACTTTACCAGTGCAGTAGGGTGGTGCTCCACTCCATGTACCATCTTCCTGACAGTGGCGAGTAGCATTGCCCACAAGCACTCCACCAGGTAGACAAGAGTACTGCAGTACTGAACCATATGTCCAACTGTTGGTCCCAGATACTACTACATTAGGGGGTACACCAGGGTCACCACAGGAAATAGCTACAGAGACAGCAAGAGATTGAAAGAGATAAAGAAGGGTTTAGTGTGTGAGTGTTTGTGTATGTCTCTGAATGTGTGTTTGAGTGTGGATGCGTCCAACTATAGATTACAGATACTATTGCTTCAGGTTGTGCAGCTGGGTCACTGCAGAGACAGCAAACAGGAGAGTGTTTTCAGCAAAACAGGGGTGGGATTAATGCAAGCCCTTGTTGTTTTTGTGTGTGCGTGCTTGTGTCAAAATACACAAACAGGGACTGCAAAAAGAAAGAAGTGTAGACATTAAATGTAGCATGAGACAGAGGCGCTAGCTGTTCAACCAAGGTGAACTGGAAGACAACCAAGGATGTTTTGGTTGTGTGATATGCACCTTAACCAATACAAGACAACGTATTATGACTTTGCAACTGTACAATAAAACATATGCACATAAATAATTAAACCTGCCTTGCTTACACCACATTGTAGCATACGGGCATGCAAGTAAAGCTTATTGAGTTTAACTGAATTGCCTGAGAGAGGGAGAGAAAACCAATAACTCATCTGAAATTAAATTCACTTCAGCCAGACAACACTGAAAGCATCTCTGCTTTTCTTCTATGTAGAAAACTAGAAAAAAATCATTCCAAAGCATTTAAGCAACAGACGCCCAATTTTTTTTCTTCAGCTTCGGAGAAATCTATGTTTTACAAAGCACAAGTTTCTGGAGGACACTGATATGGAACTGCTCTCGATTTTCTATTGCTGCCAAATGACTTGTCCTCTGATATCTCTCCTCACCCCCAAATTGTATTACTCCATCCTCTCCTTGCCCCTCTGTCATCACCCCTTTCCCCCCAATTTTCCGATAAGACCTTGTTTTGCGAATGCAACGCTCGATGCACAGACGCCAAGTGCTTCACCGGTGTCTGCCCCTTCCTTCCTCTCTGTCTGATTTCTCATCTCTCATCTCTGTTTCTATCAGCAATGGTAGCTTTCTAACAAGACCACCTATAGCCTTATGAGACACATTCCAACTTTCTTTTTCTGTAAACACACATGGACACAAATCATACTCAAACCTTTACGACTCTTTCTTTCATACCCTTTTCTTTTATGATTACTTTCTTCCCATTTTCTTTCTTGAACCCTCTCGTTTGCTCTCACTCTTTCATCCACTCCTCCTTATCCTACTCTCAAAGGCTCTTCAGGCTATTTCAATCCTCAAATGCCTATTCCAGAAAACAAAAAAAAAGCTACCTGCTTGTGACTACTTTTTTGAAGGCATGTTCTTATAAAAAAAAATCCCAAAACTCTTCTGTTCACAACAGGAAAGACATGTAGCCAAATATTTCCCCGACTACCTTCACTTGTTCACCCATACCTAGGCAACGAGGGATTGGCCGGTCCCACAGTCCATTATGCTGACATGTAAGGAGTGCAGAACCCAAAAGGTAGAAGCCTCGTTTGCAGTGGATTGATACAGTCACACCATAGCTGAAGACTTCTGGGTAACGAAGGCCGGATTGGCGCACGCCATTCTCCACATGACCGGGGTCAGAACAGTTCACCACTGTACGAGAGAGCAGAAGAGCCATTTAAAAGTATTTACAAAGTTTTTACAATGCAAGCATATATAAAGGTGATGGCTATATATCTTGGGAGCTTTGTGGGGTTGAGTACTAATTACTCAATTACCATTTAACAAAGCTACAATTTCATATCATGCATGCTGCTCTGCTCTGGTCTTCTTTAAACTGCTCTTTTGTCATACCCTGCTCTGTTTTTTTAAGCATTTTGTTCCCTATTCCCTCCTCCTGTCCCTTGTACTTTTTCTCTCTGGGTAGATGCCAGTTCAATAAGAGTGGAGTTTGATTTTCCCCATGTCGCAGGGGAGACTGACATTCACTCAAATTCAAGTCCATGGGGGAGACGCCTATGTGTGTTTGTGTGTGTGTGTGTGTGTGTGTGTGTTTGGCACCCTATGGGAACAAAGAAAGTTTCAGTCTTATAATTGACAGCTGCTGCTGTGAGGTAAAAAGAGGGAGGGAGAGCAGGATAAGACAGAAAATGTGGGGGAGATGGAGAAAGCAAGCAGGCAAGCGAGGATGAATCGCTTCAGTGGGAAACCCATGTGAGCAACTACGTTATATCGATCTGCTCTCATGACTTTGCAAAATGCTTGTGTGTGTGCGTGCTTGAGTATATCATAACTGTTACACTACCAGGGGTCTAGAGAGTTTTGTACTGTAATGACCGTGCATGGTTAGCAGAGGAAAAGAGCATGTCTCTGGACATGTACCCAGCTGTGTTTGCGCACGAATGAATTTATTAGTTTATTTGGAGATACACTGATTGTGTCTGAATTCATCTTGCAGATAAGATTTTGTTGTGTTCTCTCTTTTACTAGCAGCAGACTCGGTTCCAAAAGCAATTTCATTTACATAATGTGGGTAGAAGCAAATTCAGTCAACACATGCTGAACATACCACAGCAATCCACAATTTAAAGGAAAGTCTGTTTTTTTACAATACAACCTAGGGATCATTTTTGTCATTGAGGCCTTTTCTTTTATTTGGTTATGATTTTACTCAACAGATGTCGATAGCATCATGTTGGCTCCTCACACAGATTCTATGATTTTAAAAGTGAAAAAAATAAAATAAATAAATAAATAAAGCATTACAAGGATGTGCATGTGCATGAGTTGCTAGCTCTGTGTTAATGAATGTGGACGAGACCTTTGCAGACTGGTAAGGGGCTGCTCCACTGTCCGTTAAGTCGGCACTGAGCCCGAGCATTTCCACTTAGGACGTAACCTCTGTTGCAGGTGAAGTTGACCACATCATTGAGATTAAATTCGGTGCCATTGGTCCGCCCATTGGCTGGGTTGCCTGGGTGACCACAAGTTATTGCTGAGAGAGAAAGAGTGGAGAGAAATGTGATGAGAAACTTGAGGTTCGGAATAAGTATTGTGGTTCTCCCTCTTGATATTGTGTGATATTTCCAACTTTTTTTTAATGTTGGTGCACAGATATATTCACTGAAAAAAAAAAAGTAAACTCTAAAAGAATAAATTGTGTGATGTCTCTGAAGATTTTCTTTATATAACAATATAGGTTTTAGCTTTTCATATTTGACAAAAGCAGCAAACAATCTTTAACTTCAAACCACGATGTTGTTGGTATTGTGAACTTACGGACACAGACAGGTGTTGTTCCAGACCACCGATGGTCTTGTTGGCAGATTCTGACTGATGTGCCAATTAGGCGATATCCTAACATGCACTGGTATACAACTGTGTCACGGTAACTAGATCCATCCCCGCTAATGTGGCCGTTGACTATAGGATCTGGAGAGTCACAGTGACCAGCTGGGAGAAGCAAAGTGACAGAAATTAATACAGCACAATGAAACGCATCTTTAACTCACTCACACATCACTGAAGCTGGTTTTGTGTGCTGAGCCCTGATTTTAAACACATTCTGGCTCATTGTGCCAGCAGTCTGTGGACTGCCAAATTATATGTAGGAGCTTAGATGCTTAAACTTTCAAATGTCTGTCTTTGCAAATCACCTTCAAAGACTTTAGTTCTAAACTTGGAGCAATTACAGATGAACAAAAGTCTCTTAAAAACAGTCCTTTAAACTTTTTTTTTTCATGCACTACATCTGCCTGGGGTTCACTTGGTTATTGCCAAAGGTTAAAAGTTAAAAATAACTAGCCTTTCTAAAATTGTTACAATTATTTCTAATTTTAAGAGATAGTATTATTATTGTCTTTTTAGGTCAGCAAATATCATCTCTATCAATAAATGACAAATACTGTTATATTTTGCCATCAATATCTCAAAAGAATATGAGGGTGGATGTGAAATTTGCAGGTGAAACATGAATATTAACAATGCGCTACCTTATCAAAGTTGTACATATAGGCTCTCCGTGTACATTACATTGACTTAGGTGATCTATTCCATGGTGTTAGTGAGGTACTAATCAGGTTGCATTTTTCTCATTAATGTAATATGAGATGAGTCAATGCTTTGATTTTACTTTAACAGCTTGCTACATTTCTTCTCCATTGAATCAAATTGTTAATTTTTGTGCCAAAGGGACTTAGGATAAATCACAACATCTTGAACATCTTATCACATTCAATGAACATTACCTAGACACCTGGTCTCTACACCACTCCACAGCCCATTAGCGCCACACTCCCTCACGTGGGATCCCACCAGCGTATAGCCATGGTTACACATAAAGATCGCAGTTGCTCCGAATGTGGTCAACGTCCCCAGTTTGGTACCAAAAGGTGGGGAAGGAAGTTCCCCGCAGGAGATAACTAAATAATGAAATAAATGTGTCATTACAAAGTAACAAATTACACGTTACATAACATCGTGGTGCAAATGATCCTTTTCCATCTTTTACAAAATCTGCAAATAAAGTGGTCTGTGTCGTCAAGCCTTCATCATGATTGGTCAGTTAAATGAAGCATTACAAGACTACCATCCTAAACTTAAACATGGTACATTTTTGTTTTCCAACACAATATCTATCTGAATTTATTTCCTTCAGAAGATTTAAGCTAATTCTATCTTAATATCCTGGGAGACACAGCTTTAAAGTCACTGGCTAATTTAAACAGACACTTCTGTTACATTGCCAAATCCCTTGAAACTGCTGCAATGATAGGTAGGTCAGCTCAAACACTACCAAGAGAAATTAACAAAAACGTATCCAAATAAAGTCTTTAAACCACTGGCTTAATGTAAAATACATTTCAAATTTTAATCATTTTTTTAAACTTCTCCAGTGTACACATTTCACTTTTCCATTGGCATATCATATATTATGCAACAGTATGAAATTCTGTAGCCTACTAGAAAGTTGTCAAAGTCCCAATGTTCTGTCACAGCCTCTCTTTATGAAACAAGCAGCAAAGACGTATTGCATAGTAAGACTGTATTTGTATAGACAGTATTTCACTACTATCGGCATATACCCCACATTTAGGAAGTACAGACTGCATTCTGTTTGAAGGAGACACAGTCCCTAGACAATGTGCAGTAGTTAATATCCTCAGGCGTTTCGAAACACATACACCCCTGGTAACTAATTTCCAAAAAAGTAGAAGAAATAGATAAAACCTCACGCACAACCACACATAAAGCAGCTCCCTCTCAAATATACCAATGACAGAGGATTATCCACATGCATGCTTGCCCCTCAAAGCAGGTGAAAAGCACAGTTGTTGTTGTTTTTTTTAAACTAAACTTGGCAATTATGCTAGGAAAGTAGCTTTCTTTAATTCTTCCAAGTCTCCCCTCATTTCTTTATATCTTGCTAGGAAAATTGGAAACAGGTGCACTGATTAGAAATCATACCTGAACTACACAAACATTTATGCCATTTAAAAGGTCTTGAAAGTCAATATTTTGTATGATCACCTTTATTTTTTTTACAGTCTGAAATCTCTTAGGCAAATTTCTTATCATTTCTTTAAATAGTCTTTAGAAATGGTTTTCCAGGCTTCTTGAAGGATAATCAATTTTCACTGCCTTTTGTTCAGTTCTCTGTCAAGATGATCTCACACTGCTTCAGTAATTTTGAGGTTAGCTGACCTTTCCTGACCAAGGTGAACAAAAGCCCATTCCTCTGAAAATGGTCAGATACAAGGGGTGGACTGAAAATGGGAAAAAGTAGGCAGCCGATTTCAAAAAAAAAACTTTGAAAACTTTCAGAAAGTGTGGATAACTATTGCTCATGGCTGCTTTAAAAAATTACATGAAAGTCAAACTCCTTGGAAGAAAAGATAAAAAAATGATGGGCAGATTTTTGTAAATGTCTCTTGTTCCGGTTTTATTTTGATAGCCCTTGTCAAGTGTGCGGCCCATTCCCATTCCCTCGTTACTCCCTCGTGTATTTAACCCGTTTTTCTTTGCCCCTTGTCGTGTCGTAACCTCGTCCCTGCTGTGTGTTTCCCTCATGTGCCTGTTTAGATCCTAGCTTCTCAGTTCCAGGGTTTGTTTTCTTGTGATCCAGCTTACATTCTAGTTTTCCAGAGTTTCAGTCCTTAATTACTATGTTGAGGGCTTTTGTTTGTTTTCCGTGAGTTTTTGTTATGGTGGATTTCCCAGCAATAAAGCTGCCATTTTCAGTTAACCTCCCGTGTTGTGAGTCCTGCGTTTGGGTCCTACATCCTGCCTGCCACACAGCTGAACCGTGACAGTTTTATGTATGATCTGACTGAATAATGTTCAGTATAATTCTACTAGAGGAAATTTAGAAGGTGCACCAAATACTAATTTTATTATCATGCACTTAAGTGAGGGCATCAGCTGATTATGAGCTAAGACAGTCATAATAGTGTCTTTGTGTGTATCAGTACTTACTCTTACAGGTAGCTGGGGCATCTGACCCCTCCCAAGTTCGGTTGGCAAGGCACCGAAGAGTCCGATGCCCCGCACCTAAATAGTACCCAGTTGAGCACTCCAGCATCACCACAGAACCAAACTCTCCCAGCCTACCAGAAATTAGGCGGTAGAGCATGTGACCTGAGAGGACGTCGTCAATGCTGGGGCAGTGGACCGCTGGACAAAAAATTAATGAAATGATACAGTTATATAAAATGTAACTGAACGGCAGGTGACTTTTAATTCTTAATTAAAATCTCTGATAATGTAGTATTTGTATGAATTATAATTGTATAAATTAAAATGTATTACTTATTTATAATTCTAAACAAACTCCAAATTAATTATTGATTTAGTGGACAAAAGTTTTTTTTGAAAAATAAATGATGTGTGAGTCATCTTCTCAAAATGCATCCTGGACACTGAGAAGAGAGCTTCCAGCGAGAGGCTCTAGCTTTTTCTAGATATACCAGTGCTTACTTTTTTGTCAACTAAGACATTTACCCATCCTTATAATAAAGTTAGAAATACGTACGTAGACATCTGGAGACTGAGGCAGCATTGCTCCAGCTGCCATCCTCCAAACACATGGCATTCATCGGAACACCTGGGTCAAGGTGGTAACCATGGTTACACTGATAGGTGACCTGGCTCCCAACAGTATACTGGTAAGCATGGAAGCTGCCGTTTCCCGGTGACGGAGGTATGCCGCATGAGACAGCTACCACATAACAAAAAGAAAAGTGTTGCAGGAGGAATCCTTTACAACTGCAATTTTTTAATCCTTTTTAGCCTTTATCATTATCACTAAGAAGACTGAGAAATAATTGGTTTAAAATTTTACCTTGACAAAAAGGCGGTGGGGTATCCCACTGGAAAAGCCCATTGGAGTCTATCTTGCAGGTGGCATTGCTTGAGCCCACCAGCCTGTGACCACGATTACAAAAGTACTGAAGTCTGCTACCTGGGCGAAGTTTGGTTCGGTTGACCACACCGCCATTCAGTGGAGGATCATTAATGCTACAGTAAGCAGCTGGAGGCAGAGAAACAAAGAGTTCTCAGCGGATAGCTTAATCGACAGTCAAATTGTACAAATAATTTGATTTCCTAAGCTAAAAATAACAAACTGGCATGACAGTTTAAGAGTTTAAGAGAGTCTGAACACTTGGTGACATTAATTGTAACACTCCAGGCAATCTGAAGAAAACAAAAAGTAAATGCCATCTATTAGTGAACTTAGTGAGCATAATCCCAAAGCAAACAGAATAATCATAAACTAGAAGAAGATATTGCACTTATTCTGAATTTTTCCAAGTAGTGCAGTGTTTTGTCATCTTAGAGCAGAGTGCGAGTGTGGCAGAGCATGAATAACACTCTAAACAGTAGCTAGAACACGGCACTCAAGGGCCGCTTGGCTCTCACTTCTCTGTCTGATGTGGTCACTGCTTCACCTGATCTTGGCTCTCCTCCCTCTTGGCTTCACATTAGTGGAATGACATTCCCACTCTGATCAGGACAACAGAGTCTGTAAATCTTTCTTTCCTAGAAGTGTCATATGTCATCTGTTCCCTTTTATTCACCATTTCAGATCTTATCATCCTATCATAGCATTTCTCTGTAACATAATCATTATTCATTTAGGGTCCTCCTTTATATCTCAGTGTGTATAATTTCAATAAAGGGACACAGGCTCCATTCGGATAATATTTTATCTCAAGACCAGCACATCAGAGTATCAGTTGTTGTTTATTACTGAAGATCTCTGGAAGTGTTAGTCACAGGAAAGTTTAAAGGGTACTTCATATGATTTTCCTTTCCTTTTTTCTGTCATAGTTCCCATCAGACAATATAATGTTTGAATTGCGCATATATAAGTAAGCAGTAATAACCAGCACAGTCAGTAGAGGAAGAGTTTTTATCTTCAAACACAGGGTCATGAACCACGGAGAGACAAAAATCTATCTACAAAGTGTCAGTTCTGCTATTATTTATTTTACCAAATAGTCATCAGCTAATGAGATGCCAATAAACACAATTCTACCAAAGGTTGAGCAGATATTCCTGTGGAAGCCCAATAATATTGAGGCTTTGTGGTCAGTATCTTTTTTTGTTGTTCTCTGTTATACTCTGCCATTAGAACAGAGCTTTCTAACAGGTGACACCATCTTTTACCCTAATGTATCTACAAGCTGACTTTAAATCCAACTCTTGCCCAAGCAAATAGCTTCACCAAACCTTTAACTGCCAATTAATAGGCCAACTAACACCGATAACCTTACTGTCTTGACAAGTGGGTTTATCTAAATGCCAAATCCTTCTGAGAAGTCCAGCAATCATCCCTGCTTATTGTATCCAGCTCCATGAGTTTACTCAAAACTACAATTTTTTAAACCATTCTGACAAAGGCTGCTCTTGTCCAAGTACAGAGCAGAGAGTCCTTGACTTGGTCTTGGTCTATATCAACACTGAAATCTATTCTTACGCCTTCTTATGTGTCTACAATAATTCCATTTGTCTGTCGAATTTTCCAGAGCTTTCATTTAGACTTATTTTAACTGCTTCCACCTTGATGTTGTTATTGTGTTTTACTCTATACCATTCCTCTAACATTAACTGCATTGCATATTGAGACTTTAGCTCCATTTGTAGTAGTTTTAGCTGATGAATACATCACCTTAATTGTTTATTTGAAAAATTGGAATGGCTCTGCTCTCACATGTGCTGTGAAGACATGCTGAGACATATATTATTTATCCTACTACCACTGCTGACAACTTCTTTAAAATTTACTAACTACCATACTTGTTTACAGCCTGAACAGAATGCTCCCTTTATGCATTAAGGCAAAAACAACAAAGTAGAGAGAGCGCGAGAGAGAAAGATGGGTCAAGAATTTCCAAGTGAATCTTAACAAGTGAAACTATTAAATATATATAAAAGTGATGAGGCTATCCCAGCTTTCAGGATAGCCCGATTATAAATAGATGTCATACAATTAATAAAAATGATGCAGGGTTAATTTCACAGCCAAACAATACACTGGGTCCACAAAGAATAATAAGAAAAAAGCATGACAGTGATTATTGCAGCTTACTCCATCTGCCAACACACATTTACAGTATATACTTCTGAGGATCCTCACAGGTATAATACATTTCCTGCCCTCTAGCCATAAGCATGCCAGCGTGTGAAAGAAGAAGACATTTCTAAACATACTGTACTATAGATATGTTCAGTTTCAATTTAAAGCTCCAGATCATTAATAATGTATAGTAAGTGAAAAATCCCACCCATCATTTTTTTGTTTTCTTTAGAGATGCTGTTGTCGATGCAATAAGACACCACGGGGAAAGACAATTCTGTTACTTAAGGCTGTTTTGCAGATATAACCCAAAGACTAAAATATATCACATTTATTTTTTTCCCTTCAGTACAAAGAGCCAGGAAACAGGCCTTGTGACTTACTCCTTCTAAACCCAAATAGGATTAGTGTCACTATAAATTATTTTTTCTATGACTAAGATTGGAGGATTGTCTTTAACGAATTCTTAACAAGTTAAAATGATTAAGTGGTGAACTAGCTTACAACCCAAATCTAAAAAAGCCAACGCAACCTCACAGTTTTGGCAAGCCACTACAGATTTAATTCGCTCAATCTGACAAATTAACAAATTAGAGTTACTAATTCTCTTTTGCTCATAAGTAGCATGATGCATTCAAAAATAATGTTTTCTAAATAATCATTGCTCACCCACCTACAACCGTGATGAATTACTTTCATTATTAAGAAAAGCATTAGGGATGGTTATTCACTAAAGGAGAACAGAGCAGCTAATTTAGTAGTCAAAAACAGTTTTAACACAGGGGGTCACACAGACTTCTAGGTACTGTGTTTAAAAGCAGAATAAGAGAGCAGCCCCTTCCAGAAAACTCACATTGGAAACTGGGCATACATCTAACGCACAAGGACATTCTATTTCAATCAAATAATAATATCAATAATTCAGAAGATATCAGATGTACCTGAGTACCGTATCTTGAATCCTCTCTTGTTGGTTGCGTGGTCAGTGGACCATCGTAGATAGAGTTGGTTTGTCTTTGATGTGAAGTTCAGTTGAGAGGAATGGTTACCACTTAGCGCAACAAGCAGTGGGCTTTGTCCGGAAGATCCTAATGAAACAAGTAATTTAGTTCAGAGCCATGTACAATAAGTGATTGATTTTTATAGACGTGCCTGTTTAGACAATATGCTATTTTGTCATTTAAGTATCTGTTGCAAAGAAACGTAGTGATGATAGTAGGAAAAATGTGATAAAGTTAAACTTAGTTAAACTTAGATACGAGTCTCCATGCATATCTCCAGATGAAAAATAGCCTAAAGTAAAGCGGCAATGAAATTTCTTAGATGTGAGGTACACACAATTACCAAGTTCAAGAAGTGACTTGCTACCTCCAGATTACTTGAATGGTGTCTGCGTTTGATTTTGTTTATAAAAGACACTTTTAAATACTATAGTAGCTGAACAGCATTCTCCAAATAGTCTACTGTTCAGTAATGCTTCAATAGATTAGAAAACAACCCGGTCACTGATGCTTTCTCTGTGATGTCATTAATCTCAGAAATATCAGAGGGAGCTTACATTTGTTTTGACCACGCAAGATTAATAGAGAGAGAGAACTTGCGTGCAAATGTGTTAACCCATTTAGAGATCCAGTAAAATATGCATTTAAAAAATGTGTTTGGGTAGCTTGTTATAATGTTTATTGGTATAAAAATGAACATTTTTAACTGTCACTAGTCAAATTATTCTAATATAGCTTCATAAAGTTCTTAATATACACTGCACCAAAAGCCACAAAATTATACACAGAGCGCACTATCTACTCTGTACACAAATTTCCTGCTCCATAACCTACTTGGAAGTCCTGTGGGGTAAATTCCTAACACCCCAAATGAGAATTAAGTATTATGTATCTTATTAACGGAACTGTTGGTATTTTGAACAAGAAAACATAAATTAAAGCTGGATCTGAGTATGCGTGTGTGTGCAGATGTAACAAATGTAGGAAAGGATTGTTTACCATCAAAAATCTCCAGTTCATCAAACTGCTTCTCGCTGTGGAACATCTCCACATAGATATTGATGGTGTAACCTGAGGGGGGGGAAGCAATCATTTACTGCCAAGTGCAAATGTACTGTAACATGCAACACATAGTGTATAGCAAATGCACAAACACATGCAGAGCCGTATGCAAATGTATGCATATTTAGGCTGAAAGACCAAATGCAGACACAGAGCTCTATCAGGTTCAAGAATAAAGCAGGTTAAGGTTAAGTAAATAACACACAGCTTGAGTGTCATTTCACTCAAGCTGTGTGTTAAATTTCAAATTTTTGTCCTCGCTGTAAAGAGATCAGTCTCTTTGGTTGCATCTAAATGCAGATGGTAAGTCTTCAGTCACAAGATTATTCCAACACACATGTGTAACCCCATAGACAGACAGACAGACAGACAGGATACACACTGTACCTGGAATCATGCGCAGCAACCAGGAGCATGTCTGGCTGTTTGGATAATTGCTAGGAAACCCAGGGCTCAGTATCACACCCGAGGATGAAAACCGTTCCTCATTGGCTGGGCACTGGGCTGAAGGGGTTACCAAAAAGCCAGTTAAAGCAATCAAAAATGTAAAAAGAATTAAGAATAATAAATACAGCCTTGATTCTTGCTTTAGATGCGTGGTAGTCACGTAACAGTTTAAAATGTCAGCATATGTGAAACCTAACGGCCGCATGCCCACTGATTCATCCTTTAAAAATGGTCCATTTATTAGTCTTGAGCAAAATAACTGCAGAACTCTTTCAATCTTTCTGTATGTTGTTTGTTTCCTTAACAGGATTAAACACAAAAGGAGCGCTAGATCCTCTAAGAGAGATTTTTATTAGAATTCCTGTTATAAGAATACTGCTTTCTTTTTTTTTTTTTAATATAGAGGAAAAGGAGTTTCACATGATGGAGAAAGCCATGTGTTTCTTTAACACTCGGCTATAGAAGGAAAGAAACTCATTTTCTCAAATAATAAAAATCAATATTTTTTTGTGTGTTTCATAGAATTACCAGTTGTCTTAGCAGATCTGAACATATAACTTTTTTTTTTTTGAGGAATCTTTACTCACAAAACCAACATGCCAACAATGAACTACTGTGTTACGGAATTATTATGCCCATTGTTGGAATATATGAGAAACTGGCTAAAATAAAAAGCCGCTACATACTTTTTAGCTAATTTTCAGTTTCAATGCACAATCCTAAGACTCTCCCAGAGAGACTGACAGCATTAGAGTCAGTGTGGTTCAACTACAGCCTAACCATTAACATTTGAATACTTAAAATTTAAGTAACTTTGCCACTATGCTTCATATCAGTTTGATTTTTCGAAAAGTTGTATTACTGTGAGACTGTTTTTCAATTAGTGATTTCCTGCATTAACCTACATGAAACATGACAACTCTCTGAGAATGATGCTGAGCTTCTTTTATGCAGCTGGGTTATTGTTTTGACTCCAAATGTAATAATTACACAACAATAATTAAAGTTTTGGAGATGTGACTGGAGAAGCAACATGTCTTTTATGGAAGAGATATATTTTAGAAGCATAGAGATAGCAAGAGATAGCAAGAGATACTAAGTTGCTCATTCTGATTCTTAACATACTTATACAATGCCAGTGGAAATATTTCTGCTACTGCTAGCAGTAGTAGTAGTAGTACTAGTACATAAAATAGTGGGATAAATATAAGTAGTAATTAATTTTACACTTTTAAATAGGACTCATTTTCAAAACCATGACTCATTTTCAAGACTACGAAATAAAGGAAGCCACAACTGCCTTTAAACATCCATATAGGTTTAGTATTCACATGGGGTACCACTTAGAGCAGCTGCAGGATACATCCTGTGGCTGTGGATAGAAATTTGTCAACAAAATTGGGAGCCTAGAAAATGTGGGTGTTGACTAGGCAGGAATGATCTTTCAAAAAGACAGTTGAAGTTGAATAATGGAAAGCCAGGATCTGTCAATTCTGGAGCTTATGGCGAATTACATGTCAGGATATCTCAGCTTTTGCTGTATTGATTTTGACTTCTTATTTTAATCTGTCCCTTGTCAGTGCACAGTAAATTCTCTTCCATAGGCAAAAAAACCCAACAACAGTAACGTCTGGTTTGCTTTGTTTTTGACAGTTCCTAAAATGTGCAGAAAGCGAAGAACTACCAACCATTTTAAAAACGTATATTCTGTTTACCATATACATGCTAACCTAAGAGAAACCAACTATACACTGAGGATAATAACATATTAGGATAGATCATTTCTGTAAAATATGCCTTACCTTGACATGTTGGGGGCGGGGTTTCAAAGAGCAAATGAGAGTTGAGTTTACACATAAGCTCTGCCTTTCCAAGCAGCGTGTATCCAGGTAAACAGCGATACTTCACAATATCACCTAAAATTGGAAAATTATATTATATAACATACATATATATCATTATAAATTCTGTTAATTTATTACATGAGGCAGGCAAAGAAAAGAAAACTTTGACCATAAAATTTCAACTGATAGGTTCACAACTGTTTTTAAGAAACAACATTATTTATGACCCCAATCTAAAGGATAATAATAAGTACATAAAAGACTATATTAAATACTCTAAACAGACGCAATCGACTACTAATACAGATGACACACTGACTTTCTACAAATCTTTAAAATAATTGCCAAGTCGCAATGTATCTCTATGTATATCCCTTCAAAGAAGAGCTTCTTATTTTGTTATTACTAAAATGACTAATGTTGGAAGACTAGTCGAAAATCGCCTTTTCCTGAAATGAGTACATATTTGCATCACTGGATTTCAAGAGAAGAGGATCGCTTTACAGAAAATAAGGAGTGATGAGAGAAGGAACAACAATTTTCACAATCATCAGCCCTCTAAATGGAGCGTATTACATTAAGGCTTGAAAGAGTCTATCTTTATGAACTTTGGGGAAAAAACTCTGACATTTTATGATTTGTATTTTTTAAGAAGCGAGCACCAGATTAATGTTGCTTCTTTTGTCTTCCAAAGAAAAACAAGAAAGGTTTTCCATCTTAAAGTGTTGTAAATCTACCGGGTGATGTAATGCATGCTTCGCACTTCCAGGAGACGTATAGTGCCTCACAGCATAAGACCAATTTAAAACAGAATAAACAACCACATTATTTTCTTGAGAATGTTCAACAATTCTGGAATTTGGTAGCACATCAATAACAAAGCTAGTGCTCTCTAAGGAAATTCACTCTACAGGTTTTGTGAATGTAAAATTCACCTGCAGTCAAACAGTCTGAGAGGTTTAATATTTGTGCATATAATTACGCCAAACAAGCCCAAATTGGCTTCACTTGTGGTGGGCTCAGGTTTGGCACTTTTTTCATGTTGCTCTATACAGAGGAGGTATGAAGTATGACTATTATCACTGTTGCGTTTGTCTGCATCCTTTTAGGACTACTGTGTTTACCTACAACTTTGAATCTGAAAATAAAAGCTGATAAAAAATAAAGTAAATGTCTTCATCATCCTTGAAATAAAATAATATGCTACCAGTGAATTATTAAAAGGTTAAAAAACTCAACAGATCATTCAAAAATCAAGAAACTTTTCTACATTCATAAAAGCTCGGATGTGAAAATCTACAAAAAAAAAAAAAAATTGTTTCATATTTTGCCAGAAGAGACTGGGTTCTATTTGCCACTGGCAAGGTGCATTGATCTGGCTGGCTTTTATGAAATGTGTGATTTCTTTTCTTTTTTTTTTTAAATTACAGCCCTGTTGATCTAAAAGGTCACCATAAGCAAGCTGCTTTTCACAAATCACACACACAAAACAGGGCTGAGAGAAAAGAAAAAACTTGACAAGCAATCATTTATACCAAAATGCATGTTTATGAAAAGATTGATAGTAGTACATATAACAGGGTCCCGCCTAAAACACTATCATTTCTATGAAACATGGGGGGAAAAAGTTTGTTTCTTTACATAGGCCTGGAAAATTGCATATAAAATCAAGAGGCCTTTGTAAATAGCTTTATCCAAACCATGACCAGGTGTTTGCCTAAAAAAGTGACCTCCTTTTGTTACCTGACAGAAATGCCATTTCAGTGCAGATAAATGTCCAGTCAGCAAACAACATATACACCGGCTAGTCGTTTTGTCTAAGCATGAGGGCAGATTCTTGCCCACGTCCAACAAGGCTTTATGTGTGAGGTGGTCTACATTTTACATGACATTTGTGTGGTGGGAATATTCAAGTCTGCAGGTGCTTTGCCTGCTCTGGAACTGGCATTGACAACTCATGACCAAGGAGAAGTCGCACTCCACTCTTCAAAGATATGCTACACCCTCTGGTTTGCATCTTCGACTCATACTACACCATGATGGATCTGAAGGATTGCTGGCTTTGAAACTTTGTTTCACATTCCCCTGACCTCAACCCTATTGAACAGTTATGGCAAGCATCCCACAAGAAGTCCTTTGAACCAGGGGCTATCCAGTGAGACTGTCTTTCTAATACACTACATGGCAATTGCAACAGCTTTAAAATATTGTGTACAAAATAATTTTCTTTGCTTCTAAGACACCGATACATAGAGGTACACTGAATGGATTTTATGAACAAGTGCCTCTGTACCACTAATAAAGCAAAAGAAAAAAAATACCGTGACAGACAAGCATGGGCCTGCTATATTTAGATAATGCATTTGCAAAGTAATGTGGCAGATTAATGAAGTAATCAATCAGCAGAATAATGACCTACTACAAGCCTGATCAGGTAGTTTTTCATTTTGATCTTATGATGTACCACATTAGATAAGGCTGATGATCCTTTTTAATTCTGAAGAATGTAACAAACGATATAATTTAAAAAATCGTGCTAAATTAAGCAAATTTGTCATGCATGAATGCAGGTTCAGCCGACTTGTTATCAATAAAAGAGTTTTGCAGGTTATTCTGTTATAGTTGTTGTGTTTTTTGCAAATTTTAGCCAACATTTTTCCCCCGTATCAAACCCAATGATTATTAATCATGTCTATTACCTATTTGGAAATCCTCATCTTCATAGATCATCTCTGCATTCTCCACAACAGGGGGAGGAGGGCATTTCTTAAGACGGTACGCTAAAGAGAAGAGATGAAAAAAGGGGTTAACGTACTCACTATTGAGGAGTTGTCTTAAACACATTTACCTGGTGCAATATTACGAAAATCATGTTATTTTTCTCTTACTGTAGATCACTGCAGCACCTTTCCTTACACTTTCACCCCTCTCTAAAAATTAGACCTTGCCTATAAAAGGTAATAGGTAAAAAAACCTTATAATTTACCAGTATATGTTTAGTTTCTGTCAGCAAGATTACCAAGCTCAATTTCAAAAAGCTTGGCAGAGCATTAAAGCTCCATGTAAGGGAATTCTAATTTGGATGCATATCTAGATCACTTTCTTAAAAAACCCTAGAATAGAGCATATGATGAAAAGAAATATAAGCAATTAGCCCGACTCTCAAATCTTCATAATCCAGAGTTCCAGAAGACTCTTGGATTCAAGTGTGATTATCATCCAAACATATTTGGATCAAATTTTTTTTACTTTTGCCTTTGTACTCTACCACTGTGGATTTTACATTGAACAATCAAGATGTCAATGACTTGCAGATGTTCAGCTTTAATTTGGGTTAAGTAAAGTACCACGGGCCACAACTTATTTTACAGTCAAATTACCTGTAATGCTATAAAATAACTGCCTTTATAACTGCCTGGATAGGACTTGTTTTTATAAACTCCCCTGACAAAATGAAGATAGTATATGAATATATTTTTCCTTAGAACAAACTCTTAGATTTAGTTATAGGCTATTTGACTAAAATAAGTGCACTTTGCTCAGAGGCTGGTCACATTTCACCAAAATGAAACTAGGGTTTCAAATGTCTTCCATATGTCTATCAATTTTTTAATCTACTATTCCAACTAGGGTCAAAGGGGACTATTCCATCAGATAATGGCTGAGAGGCAGGGTTCACCATGCACAGGTCACTCATTAATCATGGCTAGCAAACTGACAGAAAACCATTTATGCTCATATGCATACCTACAGTCAATTTAGAATCACCCATTGCCTAACATGCATATCTTTGAACTGTTGGAGGAAAAGAAGAACCCACAGTTATGCCTTTGTTGAAGTAAAAACATAACATGAGATAGTAAACTAACACAATTTAAAAAATAATAATAATAGTAAGAAGTAATAGAAACTAATGAAAAAGAGTCAAATAAAGACAGCCCGGTAGTTGTTTAATCTTGAAAGGCCTATGACTTAATGTTACGAAGCTATTCACTGTTAATTCTAAGACTACAACAAAATGTAGATAACATGTAGAAATAAGCCATTTGCTTTAAATTACCATGGAAGTTCAGAATGAAGAAGCCTCCAGTTGAAAAGTCTGAATGAAAGCGAATCAGGACCTTCGGGCTAGTACTGTAGGCTGTCTCTAGTGCAGTGTTACCACTGAAAACTCCCAGCTGAGGACTGGATGTATCTGGGCCGTCCCTAAATAGAAAGAGAGCAACAGTTGATGGGAAAGCTCAAGACATGGATACATTAAAAACTATTGACCGGCAAGAAGAGGAACCAAGTGTCACATTGCACATGCTGAAAGGTAACACAGTTTGAACTATGGTGAATTAGTTTCACTCCTTGTATTAATGATTCTTAATATAGCGCATGTGAAGTTCATATTCTGTTCAAAATTTGTTGTTACAAAATCACATTTTTAGATGATTAGTAGTAGTAGGTAGTTTAGTTGTTTGTTTTGTATTCAGCTGCTAGAGCACTGACATGCCTGCAAAAATTGATCCACACCTCATCTCAATATATATTTTTATAAATGTAGAATTACCTACAAAAGTACATTTAAGATAAGATAAGATAGAACTTTATTAATCCCTCGGGCGGGTTCCTCTGGGAAATTCGGTTTCCAAAAAGCACAGCACCGACAGAAGTTAGTTAGTTATATATATATATATATACACACACACACACATATGTATACATATATATATATAAATACAGAGACAAATATAAATAAAATATACGAAGGGGATAAATAGGATAAATAGGAATAAAAATAAAAATACAAGTGAATTGCACATTTGTTGATTCCCATTGAAGAAAATACATTTAGTGATGAACTTTTTAAAGGGCTACATCCAGTCAATATAAAAAAAAAAGTGTAATATGTCACCACTGTGTACATGTTTCTGCTGCATCTCCAAAGAAGGGCAAGGACTTAAAATCACTTTCAAACTGTTATGAATTGCTAGTTGTAGAGTGATTTCCTTCTGCTGACTGTATTTAAACAAATGAAACAAAAAACAGAATTTGGTAATAACATAAAACATATGTGTCTGGAATGTCCACATTAGTCTACTAAAGTGGCTGCAAGAATATTTTTTTCTTCTTTTCTTTGTTTTTATCGCCCATTTCAAACAAGTTCGTTGAACAAAACCCACAGATTAAAGGCTTAACTTCACTCATTAAATATTGAATGTTGTTGAAAGGTTACATTTTCTAACACTCCTAAATGCCCAGTTTTAGGTTTTTAATGAACATGCCATTGGATTAAACAAGGGTTTTAAAATTTTAATTCATGAAGAGTGCCTGGGATCTCTTGGCTCCTCAATAATTCAAGGTCTTCTGAAGGTGTTGGAGCTCATTTGGAAGATCAAAATGTGCTATATGGGTCATTTGAATTAAAACTGTTAGAATTTCTAGACTCTATTTTTACTCACTGAAAAACACACAAACCCAATAGCAATAACTTTCTTAGCCCAAAAGACATTTTCTCTCCTATTTATTAACACATGGATGTATTTCAGAGCTCTATTTATAATTTATAATTGAAAAAGGGCAAAAAGTCTGAAACTGTAGAGAAAAAAGTTTTGCTAGTGACATTTAATTCGGTGAATCAAAAGAAAACTATACATCTATAAAAGCAATTTAATAAAGCTGGTAATGCAAAGTCAAATACTTATGTGAAGAAGACCAAAAAACCCCACTTGGTGTAACAACATGGTCGGGAACAAAGAATAAGAAGCTCTGCCACATATTCTAAGTAAGCATTGCTTTTGGAAATGAAGGTTAAAAAATACAATAAATCAGATTTATTAAGAGTTTGCACTGCTCATCTGCTGTGCACTTTGTAATACGTGTGACTGACAAAATTACAGTGCAGCCGAGAAAAGGATGGTATTGAGAAGATATGTAATTAGAGTGACAGGGGCTGACATGATTTAGCACCTAACAAATCCAAATGGCACATCAGATTTGGAGTCACTGGAGCTGGGCTGGAGCCTACCCCAGCTGTCACTGTGGGGAAAGGTAGGGTACACCTTGGACAGCACAGGCCACCCGTCCATTGCAGGGCTAACACAGAAAGACAGACAGCCACGCATGCTCACATTCAAACACATGCATGCCTTTGGACTGTGGAAGGCAAGCAAGCACAGGGATTCTATCCCAAGGGCTTTTTTACTGCGAGGTGACAGTGTTGATCACTGCACCCCTCCATCAATCATCACTCATCCATCATTCTGCACCTCTGCATTGTATTAGTAAGAAATAAAAACAGGAGCCAGGACCAGTGCCAGGACCAGTTTGGCTAATGAGAGTACGGTGGCTATTACTCTGTTTTTGTTTGGCTTCATTTAGAGAGTAGGCAGTTACTGTTCCAAAAATATCAACCTAGTTACAATCTGCGGCCAAATATGTCTTCTATCAATTTGAGGTGGGGGAAAAAAGGAGAAACAAACAGCTCGACAAATTAATTGTAATGTGGCTTGATTACACTGAATAAAGGCATGTGGCTCCAGAAGACATTAGACATTTGTCATTGTGCATGATAATTAGATGTGGGTAGATGAAGCACTTGTGGATATTCAAACCATCAAAGCTTCATTTTTTCATGGTTATGTTTTTCAGAAACCATACTTGTTTGTCTTCAAAGGCACACGAAGCATAATAATACACGGGAAGAATTTTACACATGATGATGAACAGAAGAGGGAGGTGATGTAATATTTGTGCATAATCATATTATAGCTATTTCAGCATAATTTCAAAATAAGTTTAAATAACTCATTTTCGATTGATGTTGGGGTTGTTACTCAAAAAAGGTAATTTATTACACATTACTCATAACTTAAAAGTAATACAGTACATTACTTAATTGCTTAAGTACCGTAAAATGGCCTTGCCACATAATTACCAGCAATATAAAGCTATAGGCCACATTCCTACACAACAGCACAAATTCCTTCCCCAATATGGACACATATGCGATCTTACTTTTAGGTAAGAACAGAAAGCAGAAAACACAAAGCAAAATTGAAAAACAGCCCAAACTTCAAAATAACTTCAAAGCGATCTCCACAGTGATTTTACTTTAGAAACATGAACAGGGAGAAACAGAGGCTGGATGCCTGACTACTTATCTCTGCTTCTGACCTCCTGTTGACCTCCCTTTCCCATTCGTCAACCGAGATTTGTTGTATGTAATGTGTTACTGTAACCTCATTACATTTTTCAGTAATGTAGTAAGTACTGTAAGATGTTACCATACTAAATTCTGTAATTACATTACAGTTACAGTCATGTCGACACTTGCGTTACAATGGTTCCTCAGTTATCTGCACGCCAGGCAGATAGAAAAGAAAACAGAAAAACCTCAAAAGTTGTTTTTGTTGTAAAGTGGAATGTGCATCCAGGACTGAAACGGCCCCCTTCTAACAGAACGTCTGCTCTTTGCAAGCGTGTGCACAGACAACATGCTAATGCAAAGCTAGGCCAAGAATCCAGACTGATGTTAAAGCAGATGTTGCATGCTGACTCCAGCCCAGCAGCCACACCCTGATCTTCAGAATACTTTCAAAGGGCAGTTTGGAAAGGAGCTGTTTTGTGGTGAGGGCATTTTACAGTTTAGGATATCTGGAGATTCCAGGTGCAAAATGATGATTACATTCTGAAGCCAGGTTATTATCTTAATCTTTCTAGATATCATTTCAGTTTATAACATTTCAGACGTTATAACATTTCAGAATCCACTTCCCACCCCCGAGCATATCAAAATATTGCATTGATATTGATTGAATGCTGATAATGTATAATTATTATTCTGAGCTGAGAATAAAATCTGAATTATTTACCGACAGTATTCTAAATTTCATTCTCATCCACCACAGGGATATATTGAATGTGACACAAAGCATCTAAAATGCATAAAATATTGCAGTATTATTTTTTTTAAAGTATATAAAGAAATACTGCTTTTTTTTATTGAGTGACCAGCACCATTAACTACTGTACTGTGTTGCTCTGATGTTAGATCTGATGCCCACTGTTAGCAGTGGTATTTGGCATACAGCCAAACACAACAAGTGGAAGACCACAGAGGCTGTTTGGCTTTAGTCCCTGACATCTGGATGCAGCTGCTGTCACATAAACCCCAGGGGTGTACAGGACAGAAACCAGCAAACACGGATCACTGCGATATGATGCAAACACACCAAGATAAAGAGCATTCAAAAGACATTTGTAACAAGTTTGAGTAATGACAGGCCAAAACAGGGGAAAAGGAAATCAGCGTGACTGCAAAGAGCAGCCAGTAGTAATTAACGATCACATCAGTGCAAGTGCATTCTGGGGGTTTTCGTGCGTAACAGGTAGATCTCTGACTTAACTATAAATGCAACTGGTGATTGTGAGCTTCTACTAACGGCAGCAATTTGTTGCTCAGTCTGAATCAAAGAAACGTTCTGTGAATGCACCACTCCCAAGTCCAATTTTGGCCATTTCATTAGCATTTATACTGTACTATTTACTACGTAAAAAGGACATTTTTTGAAAGCCCTTTCATTTTCAGTACAGTAATTTCTTTTAAACTGAGAGCAAGTTTGTTTTTTCATATTTAGTGTGACCCGTTTTCAGCAGCACAAACATTGTCTTATTACACTTTCTATCCGACTGAATTAGAGCATCCAAGTAGTCCCAAATCATTATAAAACCTGTGGCTGCGATCTTATGCTCTTATGAGTTCAATTAGATAACGTCAGTTATCCTGTTTTATTAACAGTTCACCGCTGATGCATATAATTAAAAGTATTTCAAATACAAACTCCATCATTAAAGAAAAAAATTCAGCAGGCCTGAGTTCATATAGTAAATTTAATGTAGTCTGGTAATTCACTGTAAAACCCACTGTTCCTGTTAAATCGCTTCAATTTTCCACATGAAAAGCATATTCGTTTTTGTCTGGGTAAGTCGAAAAGTCAAAAAGAATATTAAGGAAGAAACATTTTTATAAGAGGATGTTTGAAGTGATAAGTATTAATGCCAGTAGACTCTATTTACATGCATATAATGCAGTAGACCTTTGGATTAGGTGCTCCTAAGCTGTCTAAGACCCTGGAAGGTAGATAGCATCCCACTGGGTATGAGAAAAGCACTGTGCTCCTCAGTGTCAGCCCCAGGTCACTTCCAAATATATTCATGTGTCTGAGATATAGCTACATTGAGCTATTATGTGTGAACTAATCTCAAATAACCGAGTTCTTTTGGTTCCCTACAATCTATGAATGTGATTTTATAATTTTGTTCCCTGTGAAATGTGCCAAAAACACATAAATCACTGAAATCAATTTGCAACTGCAAAATAATTCAACATAACGCCTCTCCATAGCAGAATCCATGGTTCTTTTAGCTGGCGAGATTGAAAGCGAGTAGTCACCCACTGTAAATGTATTACTTTCCCACCGCCTACATTTCTGATGCTTGCTCCCTAGAGCTTGACTCTAGAGCCTGAAATGTAAAGCCTGACCTCACCTAAGCACCAAGTATAGCTAAAACCAAATTAATTTCCTTCCTCATAAATCTACTGTTTAAATCTACTGTTATTATTCAGGAAAATTAATGCATATTAGGTGAAATTTTCTCTTGACCCAGGCGCTTCAGATCCAGCTGAGTCTTGTTAGATTTGTGAACCCAGCTCTGCCACTCTTTTCATTACATTTCCCACTCCCAACTGAATCTCATGATTACTTCCAGAGTTCCCGAGCCCTCTCTGAGTCTGCGTATGGCCTTGGTACTGAGTTAGATTGAATTGGTCAGTGGTCCCATTGTAAATGCATTGCTCTCATACACCCCGTATTACACTTACCTCCACACTGAATCCTATTATTACTGCTGAAGAGTCTGCGTATGCATTACATAGCACAATGTATGTGTGCGTATGTACTTTATTATCTAGGTTATAGTGTATGGTCTCTGCATATGAACATATACGATAAAGTTTGTGTATAATTAACGTTAGAGAAAATAGAAAAGTAAAAATGAATAAAAGATGATCAATACCAGGGATAAAATTCAATATATAGCCCTAAAATATGAGGAGAATGTGTGAATGTGTGTGAGACAGACAACTGAATGCATAATCTTAGTAAAAGTTGATACATTTTTGGTGTATTCTCATTAATGTGCAGAGAGTAGACAGAGTGAAACTACACTCAAGACTTACCCATCAATGATTCAATCCCTGCATGCATGAGACATTAAATAACACTTCTTCATTTCTGCGTGTGTAGTATATGTCTGCGTGTGTTTTTATGAATATTAAGCCATAACTGTACCCAGACTTACCAGACAGCAATGTAATCGGTGACGGGTTCTGTCTGCAGTAAGGTAAAATTTATATAAACTCCATGTCCGTGGGGAACAGTGATGAGCCAGCTGCAATCTTGGGAGTTTGGATATTCATTTGGGTACTGAGGTGAGTAGATGGTCCCATTTTCAGCTGTGACATTATAGCCACAAGGAGCTGTAAAAAGCAGAATTATAACATAATTTTCACTTTTTCTAAAATGCTAAAAAACTGAAGTCAAGAATGACTGCTGAACAGCAAACACTGAGGAATGTAATTAATAGTCTGGAACAAGAAGCGACAGAAGTGACAGAATAATAATTTTACAAATAATTTATCCAGTAAATGTTCCAAGTGACATAAGTGACTTACTAATTAATTGTTTACAATGTCAACTTGTGATACCGGTGAAAGAAAAAAAGTTTTCATTTTCTAAATGTCTACATTAGAAATTGCAACTGCTTGTTTGGTAAGGGTGTAACAGCATGAAATAAACTTTCTACTATACGACCTCCACATTTTAAATACATCTTTATTTTTAAAACCAATTTAAAAGTATTTATATTTTCCAAAATACTAATATATCAAGAAGCTATGACTTATTCTTACCCTCACATCGTGGAAATGGGTGGTTCCACTTCCGGTTGATACCATGCAGGCATGTTAGCACTGTGTGTCCAATCAAAACATAACCAGGGTAGCACTGAAAAGTTATAGATTGCCCAGCGCTGTAATCATTGTTGATGATGTCACCGTTTGCAAAAGGAAATGGATCATGGCAGTTTTGAAGTTGGTAGCCTACAGATAGAGATAAGAGATATATGTGAGGTAGGTAGAGATATGTGAAGCTGGGGAAGAAAAAAGTCATTTATTTTTCCAAGTTTCTTACATTTTTAAAATTTTCTGTCTACCGCTAATGGATTTGAGGTAAACTGAAAAGAATCTCTGACCCACAGAGACAACAAGTAATAGCTAATGCAGCAACATCAATAGATGTTATCTCCTCCTACACAGTTATCGGGCAAAGGTATACACGGCATGCTAGCACTTGCCTGAGGAAATGTCAGTACCACAGGTATATTTAGGGCAGTTCTCACTCTGCGTGAGTGTCATGGCAAGTCAAGCTCCTTCATTAAATGTGCCGCTGACAGAGAGCAGAGGTGGCTGATATCGGAATCCCAATTGTTACAAAAGGCTAGAGAGAAAGGCAGCACCTAAAAACACTAGAACAAGCATTCAGCACCTGGTCAATACAAATTGTGTCTGCTGCACTAGACAGCATCCACAATGCAGATTGTGCAAAATGCTCTTGGGTGTGGTCTATGCTGGTAGCAGCAGGCTGTACAAGGTAGGAAAGAATGGCTTAACATGCATTTGAGGGGCGGGATGTTCACAGTGCAAGACCTCAAGTCCAAGCAGGACATGCAACAAATAATACAGCTGATCCTAGCTAAACAAAAGCTAATAAGGTTAACAGATCATTGCAGAAATAGAACAGAAGAGACAGAAAGATGTGATAGACGCAGATCTCTCATAAGAGAGCAACAATGAGATGAGTGAATATGAAAGGATATGACACCACAGAAATTCATGGAGGTAATAAAGAACTATGGTGATTGTGGAAAATGAAGGCCAAAAGATGTGCACTTGGAAGGAGTATTACTCGCAGCAATGGAACTACAGCCAAGAATGTGGTTCCAGCAGATTCCCAGGGCAACATTTAAACTTTCTAAGTACAAAAGTGTACTTAAAAGGTGCAGCAATGTCAGCGTGCCAAAACCTAAAACTGGAATAAGAACTCCCTTAAGCTTTTATAAGCGACATTTGAGTTGAAATGTGTGTGTATGTATTCACACTGATTTTTTTGGCATAGAGTGCTTATCCAACTCAGCTTTTAATAATTTGCTTGCAGCTATTAAGCCTTTTTAACTGTAAACATGTTATGCCCTTGAATACAAAACCAGAGTGTGTACGTAATATTGAGAAAGCATGCACCGAGGTTGCAGGTGGTGTTGTGGACCTCTGTCTGCATTGCATCTTCTCATCAAAGAACTGTTAAAAAAAGCATCTGGTGCAACTCCACGTGAGGAGGCTTGTCTGCATCCTCTACAAACAACAGCGGGATAACAGTGATACTGACTACAGTGCTAGAGGACTTCCAAATCGGAGGAAAAAAGGGAACTCACATTCATGCGCACATGATTTTGAGTTTGCTTATTTGAAATTGAATAAGCCTTGTTCTAGTTATGCTGGCATATAGGCCCACAGTGCATCTCTTGTGTCTTTGAAGTGAAGCACTTAGGGCTACAAGTAAAGCCTGCTGGACAAGATGCCAGTCTCTCACAGGGGCTTACTAACAATCCATCATTTTTAATGATGAGAGGAAAGCCATGAGGTTTTTAAGTCTTTAGCATGACTCATTCATGGATCAAAGCTCAAAACCTCATAGCAATACTTTCTTTCTTGGAGTTGTGAAAGCTTTGCACTGTGGCTACTAGGTTTGGGATATTAATTTATTCAGAGCATTTGAGCAGACCATTTTTATGAATCATTGCATTGAATAAATTTGGACAAACTAAACAATGGGACTCATTTCAACACAGGTCTGTTATCATAGTGACCCTTGAGGGACTGTAGATGCCTGCAATAATAATTCAGGGTCTGATATCTGTAAAGACTGTATTGACTAAAAAAACCCCAAAACAAAACAAACAAACAAAAGAGATCTAAAAAGAGAAAAACCACCCATCAACTCACCCTGATAGGTCAGTTTGAATCCTGGCCGGTTCTCTGAGTGGTCACTGTAGAAGTGGATGATCGTCAGGTGGGTAGTGCTCAGTAAAGGGGGTGGGAGCTGTGAGCCAGTAAACTGACCAATAAGGGATGAGCTGTGCTGTGGACCAGCCCTGACTTCTAGGAAGTCATGGTTGTCTTCTGAAGAGAAGTTTTGGAACTGAATATGAGCTCCTGTAATGCAAATTATAAAGACACATGCTATAAACGACTATATAAAAGACCTGATAGTACATTATTTCAATACTAAGAAGAACTTTACTTTACTTGCATAATGTGCACACAGCATACACACATGGTGCACGTTTACTAATCGAGTGCAGTACGTTTACATGGTTTGAAATATTTTTTGTCTATTTTCACTGCAATATTTTTTGACTATTTTATTGTGTTTTTTGTACATGATAACTTGCATCAAAAATACAACTGTACATTTATTGCCCAGGTTTTCTTTTTGTTTATTTACATAATCTATTACACTTTTTGCAAATGTATATCATACACACAAAATAATAAATACTACGTCCCCCTAAAATTTCCAGTTCCTGTATTTACCAGCACATAGCAAACAAATATATAGATATAAATCTGCTGCAGATTCTGTGCTACAAACAACTTAGCCAGCAGATGTACTGAAAGTGACACCTATTTTTTAGGAATGCTCTTACATCCATACTACTTACCATATCCAGTTGGCAGGGTGATTTGCCAGGTGCAGTCCAGGTTGCCGGGGTAGTTGCCAGGGAAACCTGGACTAAGGATGACACCACTCATTTCAGTCAGCACTCCACCACAACGAGCTGAAACCACAGGGAAAACAAACACACTGTTAACACTGAACAACGTAGTTTAAAGATCACTGCTTCGACAGTGAAGTTCAAGTGATGTGTTGTTCACAAAATTCTGTAAATTCATCAGCCGCAGTGGTGAATAATACATATCTTTTTAAGTAAGAGCCTTGTTATGGCATCCTTTTCTATAGACATTTTTGGACATAAAAGGGTTGATGCAAATATCTCTTACAGAAATAGGTAAAGCAGGTCTGGAAAGCTGGTCCTGACATGTCAAGTCGAGTTTAACTGGAACTGGCTTCTGAGATCTTTTACCAAGGACTGAATTATTTAAGTCTCCATGCAAACATCAAGGTTACACAACACTATTGCATAAAGGGTACAAATAACACACACACACATACACACACACATAAGTAAACATATCCAGTGTGCCTGAGTACTTATGTCACTTTGATACACCAGTAGAACATATTTTCTTCCAAACTGAATCGCTCACTCGTAACACAATTTAGCCAGCGGTGCAGTGTATTTGCATTTGAGCGCGTTACCTATGCATAGAGGGGGTGGGTAGTTCCATCGACGCACTGTCCCGGGCATGCAGGAAATGTGAGAGTGACCCTGAAAGTAATCACACAGTGGTTAAACTTGTTAAAAAATATGTAAGTGTAAGGAATGCTGATATATCTTCACCAGGTAACTGTATTCTTTTTCCTTTTTTTGTAAAAAGAAAAAAAAAGTTTTTTTAAAGGAAGTGGAAGCAAAGGCATAACAATCGCATTTTTCAAAACCGGAAAATTCATATTTAATAAGCATCTAATGTTTTAATACTCCTAAATAAATACATGAGAACCCATGACCTACTATATGACACCAGGGTAAAAATATTTTTGAACATTTGTCTAATGGTCAGTTTGTGTGAGTGTGTTCATTACCTGCAGAGTGTAACCAGGTTCACAACTGAATGCCACCACCTCATTGACCATATATCTGTCTCCAGTTTTAATTCCATTAGCTGGGATCATTGGTTCTGGACAAGTGGTAAGTCCAACCGCTGTAACAATCAATGAAATGAACAAAACTGTTATTTCGTCTTCTCGCTCTCTGGGTCCATTCATGTGTTTTGGACTTGAGCACACAGAAATAAAATGTAAAAGTGATGTTGTCATCAGTTCTAAAAGTTTTACGCAGACATGGAAAATCAATGTTTGTCCTTATAGTCGTTCATCTTATGGCCAACTAAAATCGTTTTATTTTCCCTGTGCTCTCTGCTAAGCTTCAACTGCAGTATCTCCAGGAAGCCTTTCCTGTCTTCCTCATTCACCTGTATGTGACCTTTATCTTGACATGAACAAACTGATTATAAAACAACATCACAACAAACACACAAGTTTACCCAAGTTTATAAGTTGTTTGTATACCCCAAAATAGTGTGTCTGAGCAGGCTGGCTTTTTATAATTATAGAGATTAATTTGATGGATATATAATTCACAAGATTAAGTCACAAAAGCTCTAATGTCTTTTTGTCATACACAAAAGCTCATTTTAGAATTGACAGCTAGTACAATGATAAAGCCTGAACTTTTTCGATGTCGACAGCAGCTTCTGAGACGTGCTTAAAAATATGTGAAGGTAACACAATGACTTTTGGTTATGTATTCCCAACACAATAAAGGTTAAACACATCCTTAATAAGTTTGACAGCAGCAGGCCCTTATCAAATAGCATCGGTAGGAGTGTATCTGTGTGTGTGTGTGCGTGTGTGTGCGTCAGTGCAGACATTTGAGGAAACTTCCGCAGGAGCCTGCCCCAGAGCGGTTACCATGGCAACAAAGGGGTGGGAGAGGGATAGAGAGCAAAAGAAGAGGAGACAGAGGGGTGAATGTTTGTATGTGTG